TCCACCATGTCTTTCCAGGAACAGAGTCTCCTTTGGCTGTGAGGCTGGTGAATGGAGGAGACAGGTGTCAGGATGCTTGCTTATTTTGCTCACAGCCACAACCAACAATTACAGAGAATGGTGGGACTCTTCAGTGTTCTGTCTGTCCCAGCACCTTCAGCATTCTCCATTAAGTAAAGGCAGCTTCCGCTGAGCCAAATATCACCCTCTCCTTGTCTCAGTGGGATAACAGAGTTGCAGCACTTACTTGATTTTGCTAAACTTCACTTTTCCATTGAAATCTTTTGCTATAGAGGACCTTTCCTATGCTATTTGTCTAGAAAGCAAAAGCCATGTAATGTGGAACAGTAGCGACTGTTCCTATCATGGTCCTAAGGAAAAGATGGCATTATTCTTTTACTAAGTAATTGTCATTCAGGAGAATGTTACAGTGGCCTTGGGGCCCTGGGCTACCTCATTGCTGCAATGAGGGGCACAAGAGGGGAGCATGTCCAAGGTCACCACTTGCTCCCACAGAAAGGAATCTCTTCTTGTCAGCCAATGAGCTTTTGTGTCCAATGTTTTCCTTTTCTCAGCACATGTCTCTAAAACAAACTTTGATGCACAGGCCTGTTTTCTAATCCATCTTTGTTTTCCTCTCCAGATTGGTGGGATACAACCACTCCTTTTCCTGGTAAGTGTGGGATGAGACCAAAGCAGAGCTTTTACACTTCAACCAAGAGGTTGGCGAGAGGCAAGAGTTCTGGGATGTTCTTGAAGTCTGTGGTGTAGCACAGCTCAGAAGGATGGGGAGAAAGAAAGGAACTAAGAACAGTATCTTCTCTTGAGCCAATGTTACACTCTGCTTGTCTTAGTGACATAACAAAATTGCAGCACTTAATCCATTTTGCTGAAATTCATTTTCCTGGTGAAATCATTTGCTCTGAAGGCCCTTTTCTGCAAGGTCTGTCTAGAAGGCATTATCTTATCAAGAGTCATGGGACATGGTGACAGCAGAAACTATTCCTGTCATAGGCCCATGGTATAGATGGCATGATCCTTTAAGCAACTGTCATCCAGGACAAAGTTATAGTTGTCCTGGGGCCCAGGGCCACCTCACTGTAAATTGGTGGACACATGAGAGCATGGTCAGAGCCACCACAGATCTCATGGAAAGGACTTTCTTTTTCTCAGCCACAGTGCTTCTGTGTCCAATGTTTTCCTCTTCCCAGCAAGGGTGTCTTGATCCAACTTTGATGCACAGACATTCCTTCTAATCCAGCTTTGTTTCTCTCTCCAGTTTGGTGGGATACAACAACTTCTTCCCCTGGTAAGTGTGGGATGAGACCAAAGGATAGGTTTCACATTTCAACCAAGAGGTTGGAGAGAGACAGGGATTCTGGGATGTGTTTATAGTCTGTAGTGCATCACAGCTCAGAAGAACAAGGAGAAGAAAGGAATTAGGAAGACTGCATGCATTTTCTGTGCACATATCAAGTGATCCACTCTGTCCACAAAATCCATCTCCTATTTAAACATCCCATATCAATGAGTAGATTTGGTGATGCACTTAAAATTTAACCATGGCATTGGACTATGAGTGGGACTCCAGATGTTCAATGTGAGCCCCTTGGTGGACACTTCCATTCCATTCATAACACCACAGCTTTGCAGGAAGACTGGGGCTCTGGACTCTGTGAGCCAGAACAGGTAGAAATAGGTATCTAGTCCACAGTGCTTCCTCCAGATTTCCCCTGTTCTCCAGAGAGATTGAAGCCCATAAAGCAAACACGTATGCACCTGAAATAAGCCTTGGAATACATGTCAATTGTGCCTGAGAGTCCTGTTGTATCCAGGGTGCAGAAGTTATGCACCACTGGTCCAAGGGATCTCATAACCACCATCAGCTAGCAGCTGGGGGAGTCATAAGTATAGGGGACACCTCATTGTGGCTTTGATGGAACTTCCCAAGACTGCCATTCCTGTCCCGCATCCATTAACCAACCTGTACCTCCCCCCACAAAGAAAAGCCACCTAGGAGGGTGCCCTCTGTGTCTCAGGATTGGCCAGGGCTAGGCTCTCTCTTGTTAGGTTCCTCGCTTGGATATTGTGTCACACATTCCTCCTCCTGTCAGGCAGCTGTGTGCTGTGTGCTGGGGTTCATCGCATTTCCACTCTTTCCTGTAGACTACAACTGTGGAGGTCTCCTGGACAGGCACTATGGGAACTTTTCCAGTCCATTCTACCCTGGGAATTATCCCAACAATGCTAGATGTGTGTGGAACATTTTGGTCCCAACCAACAACCGTGTGACTCTGACCTTCAGAGATGTGCAGTAAGTGTGGGTGCAGAGCAGATGTTGGAGAGAAGGAGGGGTGCTTGGATACTCAGGGAGGTGGTAGTCAAGGTGACTTGAAATAAAAAAGATGTTCCTGTTTTGGCTTGGGATGTGAGTAGCCCATGGAGGGTGGAATGGGTGCATGGGCTCAGGAAGTTGAAAATCTTCTGGCTTAAAGTCCCAGGGTTGTCCTGAATTTGCTGCATGGCCATGGGATGCAACTCTCCTAAACCTCAGTCAAAAAAGGGGGGCTTAAATGTCTCCTTTTCTCATCTTGTTGTTCAGGGAATTACCAGAGAATATGCAAATACTTGGAAGTGTTACTCAGTGGGAGGGGCAGTTTGGGGCTCAGGTAATGATGGTCTTGGGGGTACATGGGTCAGTGCTGCCAATGAGGGCACTTAAGGTCAAAGCTTTCCTCATAGCTCTCTCTCATTCTATGAGTCACCAGGGCCCAGATAAAAGTACAATTCCACTGAGGTGTGGAGGGTCCCAGCCCATACTGACTGAGCTGTGTTCCCTGGTCCTCTTTGGGTGACTGTTTGTAGTTGTCTTGGAATTCTCTGTTCTAGTACCACACAAACATGGTATCAGTGTCCTTGTAGGACAATATAAATACTGCACCTGTAGATGCTCAGGTCCTTGGCACAAAGGCATCCTTAATATACACTGCTTCATCATGGCCTTACCACCCACAGCCCTTTTCGGTAGTCATGGAATGCAGTGTTCATTATTGGAGATGAGAAACTTGAAAGTTACAGAGGTCCAATGACTTGTGATTTTTGTTTTGTATGGCTTATTTATTGTATGTGTTTGAGTGTTTTGTCTGTATATATGTGTTTGAACTGCTTGCCTCCCTGGTGCCTGTACAGGTCAGAAGGTGTTTAATCCCCTGGATATGGAATGATTGATGGTTGTGTGCTCTTTTGTATGTTCTGGGGATCTAACTAAGTCCCATGGAAGAGCAACCAGTGAACTTAACAACTGAGCCATGTCTTCAAGTCCTGCCATGTTTTCTCCTTCCATTATTTTATTTATCAGAGATTTGTTTTATCCTGAAGATAATTGGTTACACCTTGAAGCAATATGCTAGATTTTTCTCAGGTGACCTTCCTTTGTTTACATAAAAGGCTGTTGTGGAGAGGGACAGATTACAGATCTGTGACCCCCAAAGGAACAATGTAGACCAGGCATGACAGTCTAGGGAAGATAGATGAATTCCCTTAGCATTCCAGGAAGCCATATATTTTTCCAGATGATACATTTTATCACTGTTACCGGGACAGTGATCCCTGGGATGATGTGAGTCTCCAGATCAAATTCCAGACATGGAGAAGATAACTGTTTATTCTGTCTCCCCAGGCTTGAAGGAGGCTGCAGCTACGATTATATCCTGCTTTTTGATGGCCCTCAATACAATTCCCCCCTCATTGCTCGGGTTTGTGATGGGGCCAATGGATCTTTCACCTCAACACGGAACTACATGTCCGTAGTCTTCATCACTGATGGCAGTGTCACCAGGAGAGGGTTCCAGGCTGACTACATCGCTACCTTTGTCCCCGCCACCAGTAAGTTCCCCTGAGAGAAAGGGTGTCCATTTGTGTTTGGGGTGTCACTAGGAGCCTTCTGGTCCTCGGCTTTCCTGAGTTTGGGACATAAGCAATAGCATGGCCTCACTGGGTCCCATGCTTGCTTCCTGTGGAGAGGGACTGTGTCCAGTGAGTCTTGGGGATCTGGCTGCCAGAAATATGGTTGAGGGCCAGGGCTGGGTGATGGGATACACTGGCTTCAGCGTCATCATCAGAGAATAAAAAGGTCTAAGGTGATTTTTTGATAGACAGTGAGAAGTCAGTTCCAGGAGTGGTAGTGACACCAGGCTTGGAGCTTTGTGACTCTTCCAAAGTGTGTGTCACTGTCCATGTCCTGAGAACTAGCACATCTGTCTTCTGTCTGAAGAAGGACAGATTAGGACATACAAGGAGGGACAGAACATTCTATCAAAGGTTGTGAGTTCCAATCAGAGATGCTATGTAGATCTATGAGTCTGCTGGTGAAGGGTTGAGGAATGTGATGTCCAAGGTCGCTTATGTAGTGAGGGGCAGAGACAGTGGCTTTGTCCTTAGCTCAAGTCCCTATTTCATGATAACGCTACTCATAGACTGTAGAGTTCTTTGTTTCATGAGAAAATGATTCATTTGACAAAACACTTTGCTTGTTTACAATCATGTCTCTGGCTCCCCATCAGAGAATCCTAAATTCAAGTTCCCTCAGTGGGCTTTGGTGAAGGTGTATGTCTGTGTACAGTTCTTTAAGGTGCTGGGGTAGAGTCTGTGTCCATGAGTATAAAGCCATCCAGCTCTGTGCCTCATGTCCAGTGTGGCTGGGGCTGCCCTGTGAGGGCTGAGTGGTCCAGTATAAGAATTGGACCTGGCTAGTTACCCCTGACCCACTGGATGGATACAAATCACAGGATTCAGTCTGTCAACACATCCAGGCACATGTCTCCCCTTGAAGTGGGAGCAGAGTGTGGGCTCCTAATGACCCCATTGTTAGCATCTTCCTGGCCATGTAGATGACTAGCAGTCCCTACTCTGAGGCAGAAGATGAGTACAACCCAGTGTCTGGTCTGCTCAGTGTCATGAACCCAGGGCCAGGCTAGGCACCTTTCATTCAAGGCCTCTGACATGGCTTCTCTTTCTCACAGCTTTTCCATCGCCACTCCCGACCATCCCTGGTGAGTTGAGATCTTCCTAGAGCCTATATTACTACCTGTCCCTATTCTCCCTATAGTCATATACAACAGCTTCAGAATGGGTGGGACTCGTCAGGATTCTGTCTCCCGCAGTATCCTCAGCACTCTACGGAGAGGACAATGGTATCTTCTGTTGGGCCATTGTGTCCTTCTGCTTTTCTCGGTGGCAGCACTTAATCCATTTTGCTATGCTTTGCTGTTCTGGTGGAATCGTGCACCTTGGAGGCCTTTCCCGATGCTATTTGTATGGAAAGCACTATCTTTTGCAAAGGTCAAACAATGTGGTGTAGCAGAGACTGTTCCTGTCATATGCCTAAGGTATGGATGGCCTGGTTCTTCTAGGATGCAATCGTCACTCAGGACATAGTTATAGTTGCCCTGCATCCCTGGGCCACCTCACCATTGTTCTGATGGACATGTGTGAGCATGGTCAGGGCCACCACATGCTCTCGTGGAAAGGACTTTTTTTCTTTTTTCTCTGCCACAGTGCTTATTTGTACAATGTTTTCTACGTGACCAAAGTTGATGCACAAGTCTTTCTTCTAATCCAGCTTTGTTTTCCTCTCCAGATTGGTGGAATACAACATATCCTTCCTATGGTAAGTGTGGGACGGGACCAAAGCATGACTTACACTCTTCAACCAGGAGGTTAGAGAATTCTGGGATGTTCTTGAAGTCTGTGGTGGAGCACAGCTCAGGGAGGCAAGAAGAAAGAAAGGAATTAGGAAGATGCCATGTCTTTCCTGTGACACTGCCAGTGATTTACTCTTCCCCAAAATCCATCTCCTATTTAATCCATTGCAGAATCAGTTCAGTTAATAGATTTGATGAGCCCTCAGGATCCTATCATGGTGTGTGACTCATAAGTGGGACTTCTGGTCTTTCATAAGTGCCTCTTGGTGGACACTTCCCGTTCCACTCATAACACCACGGCATTGCAGGAAGACTGGGGCCCTGGACTGTGTGAGCCAGAACAGGTAGAAATAGGTGTGGAGTCCACAGTGCTTCCTCCAGATTACCCCTGTTCTCCAGAGATTGAAGCCCACACCAGCAAACACCTATGCACCTGAAATCGGCCTTGGGATAGGTGTTAATTATACTTGATGATCTCTTTGTGTCCGGGGTGCCGAAACTCTGCACCACCAGTCCAAGGGATCTGGTATCCACCATCATCTGCCAGTGGTGGAATCAGAGACTCAAGGAAAGCTTTTCTCCATGAGTCCAGGGGACATCTGACTGCTTTTATGATGTTTCTTACTTAATGCTTACTTACTTTAATGTTTACTTAAAGCCTTTTTTTTTTTTCCCTTAGTAAATGAGTCTTTATTGGTGCTGAGGCTGGCCAATGGAGGAAACCGCTGTCAGGGCCGAGTGGAAATCCTGTATGAAGGTTCTTGGGGCACCGTGTGTGACGACAGCTGGGACATCAATGATGCCAATGTGGTGTGCAGACAGGTTGGCTGTGGCCCGGCTCTGTCGGCCCCAGGAAATGCTCGGTTTGGTCAGGGCTCAGGGCCCATACTCCTAGATGATGTGGCCTGCTCAGGGTATGAGTCTCACCTGTGGTACTGTCGTCACCGTGGCTGGCTTGTCCATAACTGTGCCCATCCTGAAGATGCCGGAGTCATCTGCTCATGTGAGTTGGGTGAACCTCTAATGTCTTCTTCATAGATGAAAGGCCTTCTTATGTTTCGGTCTTACTACTCAATGGATTTGTCTTGCCGTGGATATTGTCACCGGTGACCAAAACCTAAGGGATATCAGTCATTTTAACCCCTCACTGGGTAGAAGAATCCAGGAGAAAAACACTGGCTTCTTCAGTGTTTCTTTTCTCATGGTTCAGTTCTGTGGCGAGAGAGGGAGACACTGTCTAGAGAGTGAGGAAGACACTATGTTACTGAACATTCTCCAGCTCAAAGTGTTCTCGGTCCACAACCATTCACAAGGTTTTCTGAATGACGCCCAGTGGCCAGTGGCCACTGTGAGTGTGTGTTTGTGCACAGGAATTTTTAGGGTAAGAGAGGAGCATCCGTGTCCATGATGACAGCTTAGTACTTTCATTCCTGTGCTTCAAGGCCATTTGAGTAGAACTGACCCAGCTATGTACCCCACACCGACACCCCCCCCAACCCAGCCCTGTACCCCACACTGACACCCCGCCCCCTAACCCAGCCCTGAGGCCTAGCTGGTCTCATGTAAATATTTAACCTGGACAAGGCCACTTAACATCTGAATCACTGGATAGCTATGAGATACAAAGTTCAGCCTGTCACCTCTTCCAGACACATTTCTCACCTTGAGGAGGACCAGAGAGTAGAATACTAATTGGCCCTCACAAGGAACATCTTCCTGGGAGTATAGATGGCTATCAGTTCCTACTCTGAGGCAGGGGATGAACACAGATTAATGCATATTCTGCCCAGTGTCATCC